TAAAATAAAAGCATTTTTTTAACAAAATAAAATCAGGGTTTAGATAATTATAAAAAAAAAAAAAAAATCAGGGGTTAGACAGGCAATATTGCCAGAAAAAAAAACATGAAAACCAAGAATAAGCAGGCATGTTAATTGCTTGTTGCCTACTGATTCACTTTTTTTTTTTTCTTTTTTTAACTTAAACAAACGCCAGTTTAAGAATATACATTCAAACGGGCTCAAAAACAGCTTTTAAGTTAAATAAGCTAAAAACAACTTCTTTTAAGCCAATCCGAACATGTTCTAATTTTGCGAAATAATGATAATAGAGGAAGTAAAGAGGATAGTCGCTTTGATTGAAAAAACAGAAAATTTACTCTTAAAAATTCATGAGTCTGAACTTTTACCTTTTACTCTTAATAAAATACTATTTTGTTGTTGTTATTATTTAACTAAAAATGTTATAAATTAAAAATAAATAGTAAAAATTCTGACTCGTGCACTTTTAAATAATATTTATTTAAATTACCTTAGTTGATTTCAATTTCTTTAGATGTTGTACTGCGGTACATGACATGGCCAAGCTTGTGAGGAAGATGAGAAAATTGTAGAATTTACCTTTAAAAGTACACAAATTTAGATTTTTACTTTTAAATCTCGATAAATACTATTTTATTAGTATAATTATTTAACTAAAAAAATTATAAATTAAAAATAAAAGTGAAAAAATCATGATCCATGCACACTTTCTGGACTAAAATCCCTGATAGTCGATGTTGAGTTTATCGGGCCCATTTTCACCCGTTCACATTTCACAAGAGAGTAATAGTTTTTGGGCCCTGCTTCCTGTACGGGCCTTGTTTTTGTGATGCGGCAGTATTCTTTGTGAATGTACTAGCTCTAATAAATTTATAAAAAAAATCTTTTTTGTTGAAACTTTCGGATACCTGAAATCTGAATCTAAGGGATCGTTCATTTTATCGATTCAAGTTTTCAGTTTTAAGTTTTTACAGTAAAAAACTCTCAAAAAATGTCACATCTAACTTTTTCTGCTACAATGAAAAGTTCTCAGAAAATGTCACATCTCAGCTCGAATTGAAAACTCGAATCCGCGAAGTGAATGCGGCCTAAAACTTTCTTAAAATTTAGTTTTTTATTTATTATACTCTTAAAAATTTAGTTTAAGTAAAAAAATATGGAGGTAGAGCATATTAGAGAAAGAAAATCCACTAGATTGAATAGTAAAATTATATAGAGGGCACATATCAGAAAAATAGTATTTGTAGAAAAAGGATATTTAAATAGGAACGCAATTGAGAGACAATATTTCAGGGGGGCTTATCTGAAAATACAATAGTTAAGGGGAGAAAAGGAAAAAACAAATATCAAAACAACCAAAACGTTACTTTTGGTTGAATTCTATATAATGTCAGATGAAGAACCAAAAATGTATCAAGAGCAACGAAAAATGCGTCCACGCATGAGAAATGTATAGTTGAATTATAGTATCTCCGCTTACTCTTCTCTTTTATGTTTGGTACCCATAAAATGTATGGGTTTTAATTTTTTATATTTTATACTTGATTAATACTCTTAATTTAAATAACTGTATTAGTAAAAAATATATTAATCATGAGTAAAAGATAAAAATCTTATAATAATATATTTACAATGCGAATTCACTAATTTTTTTTTGGTGAAAAAATGTACCCATGTGAGAAACAAATCAACCTCATTTATCTTTAGTAAGATGGATTCGCTATAAGTTACAATGCAAATAGGGGATTCTTTATAGTGGAACTCCAATAAGTGTTTCATCGGTAGAACACTATTTTTTTAACTGTTAGATTAATTTTTTAACTTGATCCTTATTAAAAATTTATAGTACGCCACACGAAATTATTTTTATTGCATATCTGACTGTTAAAAAAGTAATCTAATGGTTAAAAAGTAGTGTTCCACCGGTGGAGCATTTATTGGGATTCCACGGTAAAAAAAATCCCGCAAACAAACTGTAAATTAAAGTCTAATGTGAAATTAAAGTGATTTGTCTTATAAAAAAAAAAAAGAATTTCATCCTTGGGGCAAAACAAAAAACCCGCTTTGGGTTTTTGTAGCATGTTCAAGGAACAGATGGGCCCAAAGGGAGCGGAACACCTTACTTCTCGCCTTTCAGTAAAAATGGTGGCTTTCTTGCTTCCTCACGATATCTTTTTTAATTTCTTTGGTTTCCTTTTGCTAATACATATATTGCCAAAACACAACAATTAAAAAAAAAAAAGAACAAAACAAAAAATTCTATCTTACTTTAAACGTGTATTGTCCAAAATGTACGATCCGTCGGGCATAACAACAATCAAATATCTTGGAATGGCACTACTAATTAGTTAGAGGTGTTGAAATGCAATAATAGTCCAAGGAAAAAAGACAAAAGAAAAAGGTGAAAAAATAGAGTAATATAGAAGTGGTGTGTCAAAATATGTAAAGTTAAGGGTAATTTGTATAAATATACCCCTAAATTTGTCTTAGTTTATAAATTATATCCTCATTTGAAGAATTTTTGTTGCCACTAAAAATGGAGATCCTTGGCGTCCTCACATCCCCACTTTATGCCTATAATAGGAATCAATTTGCCAATTAATGTAATGGTAAAGAATCTAAAACTCATCCTCCACTTATTCACAACTCAAGTTTCACTATTATACCCATCTAAATGTGAGCGTTGCTATTTTGGATCATTCCATTAACAAAAAGATTCAACTGATCTATTGAAACTTAAATTAAAAATTTTTTTGTATCTTTCAAAATAAATTATTAACTTATAGTAAAACAAACAATATAGTAATTAAGTAAATAATTATCATTCATCATTTCGACTCTTTTTCTCTTATGTTAAACAATATAAAAAATTACTATTATTCTCTCTATCCTGTATGCTCTTCATCCCTCAAACTCTCTCTGTTCTCTTATGTAAAATTAACAAAAAGTTAAAAATTACACTCTCAGCAAAAAAAAAAAAAAGAAGATAAAAGATAAAAATTACACTAGATGGTATGTTTATAAGAGTGAAATTCATAATAATTTTCATGTTGTTATACTACAAAATATAAGATAAATATTATAATGACATCAATTTGTACTATTCATAAAATACTTTTTTTACTATATTTAATATAATAAGATTTTATGTTTATTTTTGGAAAGGAATGAGTTAAGAGAAAACACTTACAACAAAAAAAAAATTTGAATTTAAATTTTTGTGAGAATAAACACCGTGGTAAAAATTTGAATTGTGATTCGAGTTAAGAATAAGACGATCATATGTCTATTTGTCATATTTTTAATATTTATAAATGAGATTTTCAGGTACACCTAGCATTCTGATATGTTAAGTTTTTCTAACCATTAATTTACATATTTTAAATTTTACGTAATTTTATATAAATATATAAAACTTGATATATTGAGAGGAGAGAATGTGCCCATAAATAAATCACAACATTGCTTTCACAGAAGAGAGGGAAAATGTCAAATATGGAGAGGAAATGGTCCGGGTGAAACCAAACACGTTCCCTGTTCAGCTGTTCCCAGTCAGTCGCATTGCGGTCACGACACAACTCCCACACGCTCGCTCACTCACTCTCACTGTTCTGTCCTATCATCTCACCTCATCTCTAGTTTGGGCCACCCCCAAAATCATTCTGACTCCTCAGACACCAAAATTCCCTTCTCTCTCTCTCCACAGTGTATGCCCTCTGGGTATTTCTGGGATTCTCAATTTCTCATGTTGTTTATTTATTTTTATTTTTTATGCGAGTTTTAGACTCCGTTCATTTTATCATTTGAGTCTAAAATTTAAGTTTTATTATAGTAAAAAATTCTCAGAAACAGTCACATTTAACTTTTTTATTACAGAAAAAAATTCTCACATAAAATCATATCTCAACTCAAATTAAAAACTCAAATTAACAAACTAAACGGGCTTTTAGCAAACCTAATCTGTAATTTTGAGCTGTCCAAAAATTTTGCAGTGTTTGATTGACATCCAATTTAATATATTCCAGGTATTTGGAAAGAAAATTGTTAGTCTCTAATCTATCAAACTGAAAATACAAACAAAAAGGAATACAAAACACATGGATTATTAGACTAACAAAAAGAAAAGAAAAAAGAAGCTTTTTTCTTGCCAACAAAACGACGGCGTCCTTTTTATTTTTGTTTTGTTTAGTAGGCAAAATACTTTTCTTGTATTTGAAACAACTAATAAGAGAACAAAACAAAGCATTTTTCATGGGGTCATTTCCCTCTTTTCTAGCAATCTCAGACTTCACGTAAGAAACAACAGGCCCCGAGTAAAGCAAGTAATATTGTATATGTCATGTCGCATTCTTTAAAATAATTTGTCTATTGTTGTTTTTCCTTACTGAATTTGTCTTGCTGTTTTTTAACTGCCGGTTTAATGAGCTTTAAAAAAAATTCAAATTCCCCATTAATGAGAAAATGTAGCTAGCAGTTGAATCACGCGGCTACAGTCTCTAACATTACTACACCCACCAACTGGCCAACTCAAAAAAATAAAAATTATAAAAAAATAAAATAAAATAAAAAAAAAAATTATGAGATTAGAATTATTTTTAATTTATGTGTATTTTTTATAAAAAAAATACTATAATAAACTATAAATTATAATTCGAATCAGAAAACGATACTCCCAACAAAAAGGCTCTAAAAAGAAAAGAAATATTTAAAGACACAGAGACACTGGTTTAACACAAGCAAAAGTCGCACCAATTGAGTAGACGTTTGAGATTTAAAACGATAATTTAAAATTATTTTTAATTTAATTTTTATAAAAAAAATACTATAATAAATCACTAATTATAATTCATATCAAAATATCCTGGGTGTGCCATGTATTCCCAATCTCCTTCCCCACACACTTCCCAATGAAAATTTAAAAGCCGCTTTGACGAAATTACCCCTCTCTGTGCGCGTTCCCCCATAACATTCCCCTTCTTCTCTCTCTCATCAGCTGAGTAAAAAAGCCAACGCATTATCAAAACAACAAGCGGCAAAAACACTTAACTCTCTGCTCTGACCCATTCATTTTACGACAGTAATTTCCTTTTGCCTTATCAACGTAAGACTACTACAGATAAAACGCATGGCGAAGTCGTCGTCGGCGATCAAGCCAGAGGACTACGCCCACAGTCCGGTTCACTACGCCGTCGTCCTCGGCGACCACACCACTCTGTCAAGAATCGTCTCCACCCTCCCTCGACTCGCCGAGCCGAGTCAGATCCACACCGAGTCCGACTCGCTTGCCCAGGAGAGACTCGCCGATAAGATCTCCGCCGTCCTCGACCGCCGTGACGTCCCCAACAGGGAGACTCCTCTCCACCTCTCCGTTCGCCTAAACAACGCCGTTGCGGCGCGAACACTTGCTAACGCCGGCGCCGATGTGTCTCTCCAGAACTCTGCAGGATGGAATCCTCTGCAGGAGGCTCTTTGTCGCCGGAGCTCCGACATTGCGCTCGTCCTCCTCCGCCTCCACCACCGCTCAGCCTGGACCAAGTGGCGCCGCCGCCTGCCACGTGCCATCGCCGTTCTCCGCCGGATGCGCGATTTCTACATGGAGATCTCCTTCCACTTCGAGAGTTCCGTCATTCCCTTCGTCGGGAAGATTGCTCCCTCCGATACGTACAAGATCTGGAAGCGGGACGGCAATCTCCGCGCCGACACGTCCTTGGCAGGCTTCGACGGTCTCAAGATCCAGCGCGCCGATCAGAGCTTCCTCTTCCTCGGCGACGGCGACCAGAGCCACGACATTCCGTCGGGATCGCTGCTTGTCCTCAATCGCGACAATCGGAAAATCTTCGACGCCTTCGAGAATGTCGGGGCGCCGATGAGCGAGTCCGATATGGCCGGGGTCTGCTCGCAGACAAGCGTTTACCGGCCGGGGATGGACGTCACCAAGGCTGAACTCGTGGGGAGGACCAATTGGAGAAGACAGGAGAAGACGGAAAACGTCGGAGAGTGGAAAGCTAGGGTTTACGAAGTCCACAACGTGGTGTTCAGCTTCAGGTCGCGCAAGGTCGCCGGAGGAGACGCCGACGTGGCCGGGAGCGAGCAAGTGCTCCCTCTTGAGCTTGACGAGGACGACGATGGATTTCTCGTGGCGGAGAATCCGAATTTCGGAATTCCCGATCGGCGGAGGCACAGTAGCTTCGTGAGGGAAGACAGGGACTTCGTGGCTTTGGGGAGGGAGAGCGTGGACGTTCCGTCCGTGATGGCAGCGCCTCCTCCATCACGGAGGAGGTCCTCCTCTGCGGCGTTGTCGGCGGCGGCGCCACCTCCGACGAAGGAGAAGGAGTTTGTGAGGAGTTTGAAGCCGTCGGTGTGGCTAACGGAGCAGTTTCCGCTGAAGACGGAGGAGCTCCTGCCGTTGCTGGACATTTTGGCGAACAAGGTGAAGGCCGTGAGGAGGATGAGGGAGTTGCTGACCACCAAGTTCCCGCCGGGCAGTTTTCCGGTCAAGGTAAGGAGGGCCCCACAGAGGGTCTTGGTTTGTGTGGGGTCGCGGTTATTCTTTTTTGCTTTTTCTAGGAGGTTTTTCTTTGCTTGTTTCTTTTTGTTGCTTTTGATGCTCCAAGCAGTAAGCGACCAACGACCTTGTGCTTTCTGACCAATGAGACCGTGGAAAGTCTTTCTGAATGGCGAAGAAGCTTTTGTGGGGACACGCCGATGGTCGGTGATTTGACGTGGAAGACTATAATGGGTCCGATTTAGAGCGGACGGTGATATGGCAAGTGGACCCACATCCCTCAAAATCTCTTCTTTCACGGACATGGGATCTTGGGGTCCAAGTTTTTTGTCCCTTTTGATTCCTCAGATCCCGACTACGAGTGCCCCACCTCAAATAATCTAATCCCACCAATCAAAAAAAGTGAATTTTGTTTGACCTCGATCTTGCCACGTCAGTCCAACCCACCTACTATGATGACGTGGCTAGATCAAGAATGGCTATCATTAACGGTTAACTTCCTATGGCCAATAGCGATGGATTTCTTTATTTTTAACCTTTTTGTTGGTTCTCATTGTTTAGTGCATGTCTATGTCGGACAAAACCAAACAATTATATAGTCAAATTTGATTAATCAAAGATGTTGTTTCTGTTTGTATGTATGTCGATGGAACAGGTGGCAATACCGGTGGTCCCTACAGTGAGAGTTGTGATAACATTCACCAAGTTTGTTGAGCTTCAACCAGTGGAGAAATTCTACACTCCACTCTCAAGCCCAAGACACTTCTACTACGGCGGAAGAAGCCAACCGGAAGAGGAGCACAAGTCACAGAGCCACTGCTCGTCTTTACCGTCGTCTTCGTCTCTGTCGTCGTCGTCGACGTCGACATGGCTAAGGCGAAACAGCAGCCAGTCGGGGTCAGCCAGCAAGCAGCAGCAACAAGGGGCTGCTGCTGCTGTGGCACAAGACACCACTGACCCTTTTGCTATTCCAAGTGGATATACATGGACAAGCGTTGATGAAAAGTCTAAGAAAATGAAGAAATCTAAGTCGACTAGGAAGTCCAAGTAAAAGAAAAGAAATCGACGACATTGAGGGGGGGAGGGAGGGAGGGAAAAATGGTTGTTAGATAGATTTTGGCTGTAAAACATGCGTGTTGTGAACTTTAATATACACTGTAGATATACCATCAAATTAGCAGTATTTATTATCTTTTTGGAATATGGTCTAGGGAGATTTTGTTGGGCAACAACATATGTACTCCTTGTATTGATTTCCCGTAGTTTTGCTGCTAACAATTTTGTTTTCTTTATCAAAGTTTTACTTTGGTATGGCCGGGTTATCTTTGGCTCTAAATATGCAGTTTTTCTGATCGTTTAGTGCCTCACTAAAAGATTCCGCATCTTTAACAACCTCATGTGATATTTTTCCTCTTTTAGTATTTATACCAATGGCTTTGAGCAAAGAAACCGCATTTTTTTTTTAAAAGGAGAAACCGCATTTTAAAGACAGAGACATCGTGGTTGTAAAAGAAGAAATGGAGTTTTATCTTTTAGGGCTAGAGATTAGTTATTTAGGGTGGGTTCATTTGCATATTTAAATTTAACTTTTTATTACAGTGTTTTTCTTTCACGTACACAATTTAAGTCATAACATGAGTTGCGTAAATAAACAAACCTGCAAACCCTAAACTTTATGGTCATTTAATGCACGCTTTTGAAAATTAAAAAGACAAGAACAGAGAGGATTCACATAACATGCTAATTTTGATGTCTCAATTGGTGTTTAACCAATTGAATTATGTCATATTAATTAAAATTTTAAAATACCTTTTAACTATTTTTTTATATTATGTTTAGGTTACTAAATAACATGTTATGAAGTAATTAATTAGATATTAATTAAGACGCTAAAAATTTGACATGTAATTGGTGTATCCACAAAACCAATGCGAAGGAGTTATATGATATCACTCTCCGTGGTCTTCATTTATGACTCCAGCCATTTTGTGTGTACCAACAGGTTCTCTTCATATGGCTAAATGAATGGTTCAGTCAGGATGAAATCTCACATGCTTCCCATAATATGCAAACATCAATTAATTCCACAACCAACTGGGCCCGGGTGTTGAATTGCAGTATCATACTATTACTAGTTAATCTGATTGATAAGACTCTTTGCATTAACTTCAATTGAATGGCTCTTCTAATGCCATCCCATATCAAGGTAAGAGGGAAATTAGAACATCCCCTCTCTCCCCTTAAAAAAATAATGAAAAATAAATCCTCTCTTTTCTTTAATTAATGCTATGTATTATTACAAATGGTCATCACCATATATTTATAATCAATTATAAATTTACACGTCAATTCTTAAATTTAGTGGACATTTGATTCATAGATTTAGAATCATGATTCTAAATCATTCTTGATTTACGTGTATTTTTTATGAGAAAAAATACTGTAACGATGACACGAATACACCAACTAAATGCACTTATAGATCCGTATTTATTTATAATCAATTGTAAATTCACTTGTTAAGATTTATAATTTAAAATACGAAGTTCTACCCTATGTAATTCTACATGTCAATTTTCTAACTAGTTAAAAAAACCAATAGTGATGATGACGATCGGTGATAATTAACATTTTTTTTTTCTATATAGGTGTCCATAAGTATCAATTATGCAGTACAATCTCTTTTCTAGTTGTCTTGTTTAAATTAATGTCATAAAACTAAACGGAATTCATCATCCAATTCATCACCCAATACCCAAAGAGCAAAGATTTTATCACCCCACGTGACCTCAAATGAACATAAATTAGGAATTAAAAAAAAGATCAAAAGGAGTATTCGGATTGAAGTTCAAATCCCTATCATGTCCCAACTCCCCCTTTAAATACTACGGCTGCAGAGTCCAACTTCTCTTTCAATTTTCACAACTCAAACATGCATAGGTGCTACGTACTTGGGCAAATAGTCAAGAAAGTTGTTAATATCAATTCGTGAAATTTAAGGTCATGTGAAGTTCTGTCAGTTATTAACCTCCACAATAAATACGGAGAGAAATCCATCTCAGATGAAGCCTCACAAGTATTATCTATCACTTTTGAATCATTGTTTGGTAAATAAATTTGAACCCGTTCAAACATTATTTTTTTTTCGTAAAAATTTACATTTAATCAATTTTATTATATTATTTTTCATAAAAATTTAAATTCTTATTTAAATTCATAAATCAAACGGACTTACTTATCTTTGTTCTCATTGGTTATGAGTGGTCTAATAATTCTAGGAGCGGCCGCATATGATTGTTGCCATTGGATTTTCTACCACTGCTCCATCTTGATGAGATGTCACTGTTAATCACATTAAGAAACATGTTCTTATCCTCATATGCCAATACTTTGAAAAGTACAACACATCATATTTAGATAAGGATTGAAGAGAGTACATATTTATCTGTACTAACATGGACTTAAATGACAAAACCAACTTCCCAATCCCAATATTAAGTAAATTTTCATCCTTGAAATTTACACAAGTAAAAGAAAAAAATTATTGCAGACCCAACAACCAGCACTAAAGAACCCATTTAAATTAGCCAAAATTGCCTTGTGTTGCAAAAAACAAAAAAAAACAAAAAACAAAAAAATTGGGCATTGACTTTAACCAGAGAGAATTTTACCATGTTTAAAGTTACCAGAACTGTTAAAGCTTCTTCAGGCACTTTACCGGAATATGCTAAGAAGAGAATCCTTTTAACCGCAATGCAATGATTCAGTACTCAGCACCAGAGAAAACCCAGTTGATCATGGTGTCTCCCATTATAATATTTCTGGGATGTTCTTATTGAATTACCTCTGTTAACTTTACCAAAGGTAGAATAGTAGCTTTCACATTGGTTTGTTATTCAGATAAAGTGAAAAGAGACGTGAGTGTGTGGCGTGGTCATAGATAGTTGATTGAATCATGGCATTGGCTTAACCAAAAAGGGAAAATATTGTATTGGATTTACTAGTACGGACTTGTTATCTGACAGGGAAAAAAATATTGAGAAAAAGTACTGCAAGTACTCAATTATTAGTCATTGGCCAAAGATGCTAAAGCTCACATGCGGGGGGAGCCACAAATTTTAGCCTGTCTCGTGTGAGAGATCTCAGCGATTCGAGTTTTATTATAATAAATAATTTTTAAAAATAGTTATATTTAATTTTTTTATTATAATAAAATTTTTTTATATAAAATTATATCTCAATTTAAATTAAAAACATTTTAGCCTGTCTCGTGTGAGAGATCAGCGATTCGAGTTTTATTATAATAAATAATTTTTAAAAATAGTTATATTTAATATTTTTTGTTATAATAAAATTTTTTTATATAAAATTATATCTCAATTTGAATTAAAAACTCGAATAAATTCATATCTCAATTCAAATTAAAAACTCAAATCAACAAAGGTTCCGTTCATTTCGCCGATTCGAGTTTTGCTACAGTAAAAAGCTCTCAGAAATAGTTACATCTAACTTTTTTGCTACAGTAAAAAGCTCTCACACAAAATCACATCTCAACTCGAATTACAAACTCGAATCAGCGAAATAAACGGGCCCAAACTAAATGAGCTATAATTCTCAATTACTATTGTGGTAAGATTGACTCAAATTTAAAATATTATTAAGGAGAACGGACGACCTTATTAGCACACTAAAATGGCGGTAGTGTATAATTTTATATAAGTAAAACAAGGAGTAGAAGATAACTCTTAGAGTCCGTTTAGTTTATGGATTAAAACCATGAGATTAGAATTATTTTCGATTTATGTGTGTTTTTTATGAGAGAAAATACTGTAACGAACCATGAACCATAATTCGAATAAGAGAACGAATCCTCCAACCAAACGAGCTCATTGATCTTGGTATATTAGGTAACATGGACAAAACACAATTGTTGAGTTGCTTATTGGAAGAGGCAAAAGCATAATAGTAGTCCAAACTTATGGGCTAATTAGGATGAGATGTGAGATATACCTTAATTAATTAATAAGGAGAAGATGGAATATGATTAAGATCTGTGGGGATTAATTTAAATGACCACCAACAAAGTAATGAGAGATGCCAAAAGACGTTTGCTTCTCCTGATGGAAACCGGTGAGTTGGCAAGTCTTTTAAAAACAATGTGGTGAAATGGTGATGAAAGACAGGCCATCTACATGTGCCCCTTTTTATTTTTTATTATTTTATTATTTTTCGAGTTTAAATGCCTTGGAACACCTAATATTCTCCATTAACACTGTCAACTTTCTCAAGAAATCTTTTTTATCTTCTTCATCAGGTGCTCTCTCTCTCTCTCTTTCTCTCTCTCTCATAATATCTAGCTACCTATCTGAATCTGTTATTGCAAGTGTTAAAATCAATACTTTTAAATGCAACTTGCAGTTAAGTCTTAGCTATCATATTGAGTTGTTTCGATCTTTTTCTCTACTTCTCTGATTGATGCTTTTTGATTCACCCTCTTCTCTATATGTGAATGCTTGATTTGACACATAAACTCTCTACTAGATTCAGTTTCTACCATGTCAGACGCAGATCCTTCTTCTAACATGGAAATCCTTAATGATCGCGCACACAAAAGCTTTACTTTTCTGTATGACTTCTGAATGCATATGAATACCTCATGGCATGTAGAGCAATCCATCTTCACATAAATTAAAAGTCTGAGATCTTTCAAAGTACTTGGATCGGTAAGGAAGCAGCAAGATTTAATATTTTAGGTTTTCTTTTACTAACTGGTTAGAACTTTTGCATTCTTGTATTATTATTCTATTCAACTTCACCATCAGTAGTGATCTGAGGAAAAGGTTAATGGGGTTTCTTGTTATTTTTGGATTCATTCACAAATGGGGGGAAAAAAAAAATAGTTTGGCTTTCTGGTGATCTCATCAAAGTTTGGATTGTTGGCAGAATATGGCAAGTGAAGCTCCGAGCTGGGCCGACCAATGGGGCGCTGGGGGAATCGGAGCATTGGAAGAAGAAGACAACACAAATTCCAAAAAGGATACTGGGGCCAACAAGAAGGGAGATGGCAAGGCTGGATTAACTAAAGCCAAAGCCGCAGCCTTGGCAGGAGCGCAAAAGATCAAAAGTGGGACATCTAATGGCATCAAATGGATCAAGAATCAGTGCCAGAAAAAGGGCCCCTCCAAATAAAATAAGTTTTATTCGTTTGCTAAATACAGGATGTCTTTGTTGCTTTGCTTGAATCGAAATTGAATGGAAAACCCCCAACAATTTTGTTAAGCTTCTTCATCCAATGTGTAATAGTTTCTTAGTTTGATTATTATACTCTCTCTTAGCTTTTATGGAGTTATTGTACTGAAAAACCAGTACACTCAATGAAATCTATCTTCCAATAAGGATGTCCAACCATGCACAACTATCTATCTATTGCAAAAAAGCTCAACTCCGAAGTAAAAGTAGGACGTTAACTTCACTAACTTAAATTTGTTGATTTGAGTTACAAAAAATTTAAGTTTAACTTGAATTTTGAGTTAAGTATTTAGGAAGAGATTAATTTGATATTTAAAACTTGAATTTTGTGTTCACTTGTACTAAAGCCAAACTCCAATTATAAAAAAATGTTCTTTTCTGCAGAGAAAATCCGCACTATAAAATCAAACTTGAGTAATGAAAAAACAAGAGGTAGGTAAAACTCACCAACTCGAGTTATTACTCGAGTTTAAAATTCGAGTTGCGTTTAGTGAACGCATAACTCGGCTCAATTTTACACTTAAATTGAACTTACTCGAATGTGATCCACGAAGTGAACGGCCAATATATATATATATATATATATATAAATAGACACACACATACATAAATAAAAAAAAGAAGAAAATGAACGATAAATTCCATCCATTCTAACCCAAATCAACATGTCATACATGTACTTCCACGACTTCCATGCCAGGTATGTGGTTCCAGCACAACATTAATGGTATTGAACCTCTTGATCCCAATAGAGTTGAATCATTATTTGGGAGGATAGAACGTTGATTTGAAGCACTATGCGAGAATGTACAAATTTCAAGTTGCATTTACACAAGAGCCTTGTGGCTGTTAAAAGGATCCAAAGGTGTTCTCTCCGCTGTAAGTCATGTAAAGAAATCCGTCGTCGTCCTTGTTTTCTTCGTAAAGTGCAGACATTAAAGCAGCTGTAGTAGGAAGGGGAAGACGAATTAAAAGAAGCAATTTGTAATAAATATAACATTAGCTCAATGAAAAGGGATCGCAGCTCACCAGAGGGAGGTAAGGTGTTCTTGACAAAGACAAATATAGCCTTCTCAGCACCAAGCTTGATCCTTTTCCGAACAACATATACAAACTGTCCAACTGTCAAATCAGCTGGGACAAGGTATCTGCAAGCAATAAACAGAAAAGAGGGAGAAAAAAAAAAGCATTACAATTTTGATAAGAGGACCTTCAAGCCATCAACTTATCTTAGTTTTGATTAACAAGCACGAAAAACTTGGATGAAGTTAAAAACTAACAAAACCCAGCTTCTCAAAAGACAAAATAACTCGAACACTGACCCGTTTATTTCATGCGTTTGAGCTCATGATTCCGATTCTGTTACAATACTTTTCTCTCATAAAAAATTTGAATAAAAAAAGTTCCTGTCAATGAGTTCTCTCACAAAATTTGAATTCAAAATCAAAATCACTGACTTAAATATGTGAGCCAAACATGCCAGTATTGGTGCCTGTACAAAGTATTGTTGTTTACTTTTACCAAATACTCTAATTGTTAATATTTTATTTTTCTTTTTTCATCTTTATTTTTTCTGCATAGTGCTTTCAGGGATTGCACAAGCAATCTCAAACTGCGCCTATGTCAAATGCAGCATTTTATAGTAGGGAAAGTTAGCAGCTTGACATTAGTTAAGAAGTATGTTGTGCAATTTAGGAACTAGAACATAAATAAAATCAGAGGATTTCATCTACAGTTCTCTATTGTAGTATAAATAATTGTAACAGAAGGGTAAATAGATTACTACTAACTTTTTCTTATCAATGTCAGGAATGTCGCTCTTTCCAGCCTTCTCCACAATAACCTACAAAAACGTACTCAGATTAGGATGACTCAAATGAATTTAAAAAAAAAAAAAAAGGAACTAAAAACAGATTACAAATTTTGATAAAAGTGAAAATTTTACAGGTATTCTGTCAGGATACTTCTCTTTGATGCGACGAGCTTCTGCCTGTCTCCTTTCTATTTTGTTGAAGATCAAAACCATCAGAAAACGAAATGATAACTTAAGAAAAGATGATGATAGGAGTAAAGAATAGACAACTTGACATAAAGAAAGTCATCCAAAAGCCAACGATGAAAAAAAAAAAAAAGAAAACTTTTGAAAAAAGCAAATTCATTCTGTAGTCAGTGTAAACCATCTCAGAATAAATTAAATGAACCTAAAACTTCCCCAAAGAAATAAATAGAAAAAATTAATTCTCCAATTCATAGCAATTGAAAAGAAATGGATACAATTACAATTACAATTGTACATGACTTAATCATAGCTGCCCTTTGAATAATTTAACCTCTTAAAAAAGAAAAGAAAAGAAAATCCCACAAACGATAAATTAAATAAAAAAAAAAACCAGAAATAAAATTCAGAAATGAAACAAACCCAGAGGGTGTTCGAGCTTGAACGAGGTTTTGGACATGGCGAAACTCCCACTTCTGTTGCACTCTGCGAATTTCAAACAGCGAAACATCACAAACTCGCAAATCATCTCTTACCCAGAATAAGGCATATATTTATATATAAACTTACAAAACAAAGGCACCAATCACAAGTTTTGCAAAGGGGATGTACAAAAACAACATACCAAACACGAAACGGCGATCGTCAAGATTTCTCAGAAAGAGAAATAGGTGGATGATCGGAAAATAACAAACAAAGAGTCAAAATCAAAACTTGAAGAGAGAGATTATTGTAGAAGAATGATTGTTTGTGGCTTTTATGGGTAATGCTTTCGTGGGCTTTACGAGAAGAGACTTGTTGAGCTTTCTTTCCGATATCTACACGGAACCTACACTTGCATTACATCTGCTCTTCTGGAAGGTTTTGTCGCACAATCTGATGTGGGATTCCTTGTTCCGGACTCAAGTTAACCGAACGACACCGCTTAAGTGTGGTGCGGCGCAAGGGTTAACATGTTTTCTTTTAAAATTTTTATTTATTTATTTATTTTGTTGTAAGAGGGACCGCTGTTGTGTTGATTGTGAAATCTATAATTATATGTCATCGTTTATTTCGCTGATTCAAGTTTTATTACAGTAAAAAATTCTCATAAATAATCACATTTAATTTTTTTGTTACAGTAAAAAGCTCTCACATAAAATCACATCTCAACTCAAATTAAAAACTCAAATCAGCGAACTAAACGGTTTATTAGGATGTCAATGATTGAATTCGGAAGATGACATCAATACTGCATAAGCAATGAAATAAACCAACATAAAAAAAAAAGATAGAGAGATTTTATAGTAGTTTTATTGTAGGGTATTTACTGTCGGGTCTTTAGTAATTTACTGTAGGGTCTTTAGTAATTTTATTGTGATCGAAGAAGATGATTACAATGATATTCTCTGTAAATACAAAGAGAAACAGTGTAAGAAAAATACTAAAAAATATGTAAAAAGAGAGAGAATATACTTGTAGGGGTGAAAGCGTGTGTAGGAATGCGTGAACCCCTTGGACACCTATGGTATGCATTTATAGGCTCTTAGTGGTTGAAAATAAGCCTTTGGGTAGTTTCCTATTTGACTTTTGATTAATGATCCTCTAGGAAATCTTTCCTTATAGGGATGATGCTTAGTGAGCAAGCATGTGGGATGATTAACTTTCTCCTTTACTTTTCTGGATGTGATCCCTTGGTTTAATGCCGAATATTCTCGCTGGAGATGTGATATTCGTATTTAATTCTCAGATGCTGTGGTGACATGTTCGTTTGACTGCTTGTCTGGCGAGTTGTTGGATTAGTCGTTCGGGCAGCGCTGGGACCCCACGAGTTGCCGGCTGCTCGAAGCCTGTTTTGGCTGGCAATTTCATAATTTGACCCCATTCTCCGAGACGATGACACGTGTATTGTGAAAAATGAGGAACATAATTTAACCTTAACAACAGTCAACGTTAGCATACCTCCTAATGGTTAATAAAAGGATCTCCATAATTATCAAGGATGTTTGCTGAAGGCCCTAGCGGCATGTCTTAGCCCTCAAAGGAGGAGCGCGTCACCCCAACTATGTTGAATGTACTAACGAGTAACGGCAAGGGTAAGTATGTGAGTGATCTCATATTAGTCTTTATATTTAATACCCAAAAGATGATCCAACTCAAACTGTAATTACAAGCCCCTCACAGTACTCCATTACCCTTATGTCATCATATTATGTGGTTTTTTTAACTTAAAAGTGGAGAGATTTGTATTTTAAACAATATGCCTTGTGTGGGAGGCATGCATAAAATTACCTTCAGACTACATTTGCAATCACAATTTACTGTTTGCATATTCTATCAGTATAACTCCGTTTTTAATCATAAAAACTTCTTTAACTTTGCGTGTGTTTTATTTTTTATTTTTAATAAGATTTTGATCATTTCTAAAGTACATATTATCCCTCTAATTGTTTTTGCTGAATTTTTATTTGGGAAAGGACGAGAGGATATTGAATGTAAAGAAAAAGGTAATAGCGGATTTGAGAGAGAGATAAAATGCAGTGGAGTAGCTAGACTTTTTTGTAAATTTCATACTTCGTAGTTCTCTGTACTTATCATTATTTTTTCTTTCCATTTTTTAAATTTTTTAGCCATTAGTAATTTTCAAAATATTTAGATTCACAATTACAAACTCAGCAACATGATTAGCTGAAAGAAATAAGGACAAACTCTAGAACATGTTTTAAGATTCCAAATTTGAAGCCATAATAAAAAGGTAAAAGGAGAATTGGTCGCCCTCTCCATTTCGTTTCAGATGTGATATTATTAGAAAGGTATAAAGTTAGATTTCAATAATGTTATTTCATCGTTTTGTTGGGAAAACTGTTCATTTCCAGTGCAGAAGATAATCTGAGTTGGCGAATCATCTGGCACATGAAAAATCATCTGAGCATCTCGAAGACGTTTGATTCATAGATTAGAATCATAAGATTATAACCATTTTTAATTTATGTGTATTTTTTATAAGAAAAATTACTGTAACGAATCACGAATCATGATTCGAATCGGGATACGAATCTCCTAACTAAACAACTCATTCATCTTGTTCGTTTTACACGTTCAACAAACTTAAATTAAAAAGTAAATTCATCTTAAAAAAAATATTGAAACATTAAAAGTTAAATTTAAATTTTTATAAAAAAAAATTATGTAGTAAAAACTTAAGTTGTAATTTAAACTAGTAAAATAAACTGAGGCTTCGTGTCTTTAGTTTAGAATCAACAGAACGGAGTTTAAATTTGGTCTTCAAGCCAGTTTTCATTGCTTCACCACCTCTAGTCTTCAAGCCAGTTTTTTGGCCGTCTTCTCATACAAGTTTTCAAAGAAGCTAAAGCCATAATCTAATAAAGAAACAAAGGAAACAAAAATACCGTCTCAAAAGAAACCAGCAATTAGTGCATTTAAATCTCTAATGTCATAGTACTAACAACAACGACAACACAAATGAACTAGACACTGAAAAAAATCTAGTGTCACTTGGAACATAGAAGAATTTCTTCTTAGTTCGTCCTTCGTAAGAGTAATGGATGAAAACCGAATCCAAGCCGCAGACACGAATCAAGAGAGCGGCTTGGCGCTAGTAGCAGGATCTTCCTTTGCTTCTAGACGTATCATGAAGACATAGCCCAGAATCCACAAGAGAATGTATTGAAAAGGCACCCAAGATAGGCAAGCCAATAAACTCGTGATGCTTCCTATGTACTGAGGATCTTTTATAAACCCGAATGGGAATTCTGTCACCCATGGAATGTTCTTCCCAAACCGCACTCCATAGTAAGTCCCGGATTCACCTAGCAATTGGTACACCCTGAGGTTTGATTTTGACACCAAAACTTTTAGTAGGTAACATAAACAACATGATGTCACAATACTCAGTAAAAGTGCAAGTTTTTGAATATTAGATCTGGGCAAAATCTCATCAAAATTAAAACTTATGTGAAACTCTCTGAAACGTATTAATGGTTCCTTTCGAAAAGGGGTTTAAAACAGGGTGAGTTTGAACCATGTGGGTTCTGAATTATGGGGTTTGAACTTGGGTTCAAACTTTGAGAACTCAAATGAGATTTGGATTTAGAAATCTTTTTATTTTGAGGGTTTAAATGTCACATTAAGAGTTCAAATCCATTTTTACTTTTTGTAAATAAAGACTGGTTGAACCTCAATTGGGCTCAAAGGATTTGAACCCTCCAACCAAACCACCCTACGGTTCAAATCAGAATTCTACCGGCATAAAATTATCCAAAAAGAGTCAATGAAGTTCTAAAAGCATCAAAAGGACATTGTATTTAAATTTTAAGCAAATAATCACATTAATATAGCTATGAACACCGACTCTAGATTACCACATGAACTAATACTAGGATTTTTAAGGCAAAAATAACAAGGAAACCCCAAATGTCTCCTACCCCTCTAGATTTTGTTTTTTGGTTTTAGTAATGTAATGTCATGGTAATTGCTTATAACTTATTATTGGAGCCAAAGACATACTGATAAAAATAGCAAAAGTTCCGAAGGGAAATCAAGAAAAATCACATACTTTATTATATCAAATCACAGCCTAAAAACATATATATATATATATATATATATGTATATGTGTATATCAATGTATGAAGCTGACCTGAAGTTTAGGAATTGGCCAAAGGCAATAAGAGGCCAAAAGTAGAGAGGTGGAGGCCAAAAGAAGGAAGAAACCGAGAAGAGAGAGAGTAATTGAATGAGCTTAAGGAAATGAGAAAACGTGGCCATCACTTTCGATGGGTCCCGCCCTTTCCCACAAAGGTCCACCCATGTTTGCGGATGATTCCATAGCCAGTAGTAGAAGGGGAACGGTGAGATCACTCCAATTGCTGCTGCTACGCTCATTTTCTCCGTTTTTTTCTGGCCTATTTTCCTTCACTTTCTCGGGAAAACAAGGCAACGAACGATCTTTCTTCCTAGGCTCGCGAAAAGAACTTTAGAATTGGATATGGGCCGGGATATTCTCGTCCCTTTTGTCTTTCGGCCCGTTTCAAAACAAACTGGAATGAATACATTGTGGGCCTACGTCAAGCCCACTGAAGGACCCCAAGCCACTTACCTCGTTTTTCTTGCGTCTTTTTTCCCCCTAACTATTGAGAAATTGGTAGTAAATAATATTTTTGAAACTAAATTTTAAGTAAATAATATATTTTAAAACTCTTTGAAATAAATAACAGTTTATGTAGTAAATGTAAATAATTTATTTTACGATTGGTAAAAAATAACTTACATAGTACAAAATTTTAAAAAAATCTTTATTTACATGGAAATAATTCTTTTTACCCGTTATTAAAGAAAATTTACGTGAAAAAAATATCTTTACTAACCGTGAATGTATTATTTATACAGTAAATGATTCATTTATCATTTAAATTGTTATTTAGTTGAAATAGTTTAAAATCGGTTATTTATTTAATTTAGTTTTAAAATTCTACTATTTGCTACATACTTATATTGAAGCCTAACAAGGTGCAACGATTAGGATTTTTTTCCCCTCAGGATGGATTCAAAGGTCAATACTCCAGAGTCTTACTCTGAGGTCCCTACATTATCAATGACTTGTGGTGGTGGAAGTGAAACCGGACTTATTCTTTAAGTAGAATTTGATCATATATTTGTTCCATTCTATTGACGAGCTTTTGTGTTTTTACTATAGAGTAAACGGGTATAAATTAAGAAAAAAAAATTAGAAATACAATTTAAGATGATAAAAAATATTATTAATGCCGCTCCACTTAAAAATAAATAATTATTACTCAATTAATAAAAAAAAATAAAATATCATAATATCACTTAATTATTTAGAATGATTTAAATAAATTTATTTTTAGGTCGTATACTAATAAAATCTAGTTATCCATACATTTATCACTTTTACAAAACACCAAGGCATGTTCTTTTCTCAAATTTTAGTTTAGTATATAAAAAAAAATATTATAGTAAAAAGTTGAATTTAAATTTTTATAAAAAAAATACTATAATAAAAAATTTAAATTATGATTTGAATTAATTAGAACAAGTAGCGTCAACTCTCTTAAAATATAATTATTTCCGATTCATCGGACTAACGAAACGAGAAACGTGATGCTATCCATGATTCTCTTTCACGAGTAGGGTGGGGTGGCCGCCTTTGTGGAGTTGGGACTCGGGAGAACTAAGCCCAAAGTTATGATGTAAACAGATGGGCCCACTTGGGCCCATATTATGGTGGTTAGCCAAGCAATTGGCCACTTCGTGACATACTGCTCCCGGACTCTCATACCCCTCACACCAAGAAAAAATAGAGAATTTACTTCGTGAATCAAGACCTTTTTCATGATAAATACCTTCTTATTAGTATAATTATTTAACTAAAAAAATTATAAATTAGAAAAAAATAAAATTATAACTCATATATTTTTAAAGAATATTCATCAAAATTACCTTACATCAATCAATCTAAAAAAAAAAAGAAAAAAAATATCATATTTAATAAAGTACTTAATAAATTATAACATTTATTTAAAAAAAAATAGATAAATTATAACATAATTTAATATTTTAAAATTTAAATATTATTAAAAACCAAAACATACCCTTAAACTTTTTTTCATCTCTTTCCTCTTCCAAACCTATATTTTCTTAAAAATAGTAAATTACAACATATTTTTTAAAATAGGAATATTATATTATATTTTTTAAAAATATGAAGATTATGGACGATGTCGGTGACTGATAGTCAATTCTGACGACATGCAGCCATCGCCAACGACCGGCTCTGACAACCAATAAATACTGTCTTACTAGCAAATACTATATTTATCATACTAATCTAAAAATTCAAAACCAATTTCAACGGCTAGTAAAATACTGTATTTATTAATAAATATTATATTTACTGATAAATATTATATTTATTATATTAATCTAAAAATTTGACAATTAATAAATAACATATTTATTGATAAATATCATATTTATTGATAAATATCATATTTATGAATAAATATCATATTTATTATATTCATCCAAATATCAAATACTGACTCCAACGGCTAGTAAAATACTGTATTTATCGATAAGTATTATACTTATCATATTTTTTTTAAAATTTTCACAATTAACATCTCAAAAGATAAAAAATCACAAAAATACCTAAATTCTTATATCTCATAAATTTAGATCAACAAAAATCATAAACTCAGGACCAAACGAACAAAAAACCTGCAAATCAAATCTGATAACAAAAAAACTGCTAAAAACTTGCTCCCTCCATCTCTGCAAATTAGATCCGCTGCCGCCGCTTCCACATCCTAGCTCTGGCAAGCCCAAGAAAATCCCGCTGCCACCTCAACGGCCAAGCTTTGGCGAGCCCAGGGAATCACACTGCCACTAGTCCGAGAACGGCATACTGAGTTCGGGGGGAGAGAGAGAAACGTGGGGAGAGGACAGAGAGAGATCGGAGAAGAGAGCCAGAGAGAAAGAGAGAGATGTCTGAAGATTAGGGAAGAGAGAGAGACGACCGTGGGGGATAGATGGGAAGAAGAGAGAGAGATCAAGAATAATAGGGGCATTTCAGGTATTTTCTCAATTAACGGATAAGACCTCGTATAATTACCGTTTTTTAAAATATATGTTATTTACTACACTATGACCGGTAAAAAATGAAATGTTATTACTTATTAGTGTATTTTTTTTATCTGAAAAATGAAAGGTTCTTTACGCACTAGTAAAATTTGGATGGCAAACTTTAAATATAACAAAAATTTTAAAATATTACAAAAATAGTGAAATTTTGATATCATTAGAATAATGAATATATTATTATATAGTATAAAATATGACATTATTATGATAATAATTATGTCATTTTTGATATATTTATAATATTTTGAAAATTTTGTTAAATTTTAAATTAAGGTATGAAAATTTCTCATGTGGTGTAATCATCACAAAAAAGAATTAACCCTTTTTTAGTCAAAAATAATATAAAGAATAAAATTATTAATTTATCCTTGAAGTGTATGAGTCTAGATTTTTATTTATTATTTTTGATTAATACTCTTTTAACTAATATAGTTATTTAACTAAAAAGAATTTAAATCAAGAATAAAAAATAAAAATCTAGATTCATGTATTCTAAAGATATTTGTCTCATTTTCTCAAAATAAATTCACCTTTTACCTATAAAATTTTTGCTTGGGCTTTTATTCTTCCAATACGTTTGTGAAGCAAATTATTTGATTTTTTTCGCCTCATAAACAGAAAGCATACACATAATAATAATAATAATTAAATAGAATTATATGTTTCAAAAACCAAAAAAAAAAAAAAAAGGTATTGTAAATGTGTGGCAAAGCATTAACGTTAATACTGGACACATTGCAAACACATGTTGCTCGAAGTATCTAATGGTCCCAAGAAAGGGATGCATGTTATTTCTACTACATAGTACTCAAAAATATTGCAACTGTCATGATGTTGGCCTTGTTATATGGTCTTTTCTTTTTCTTTCTTTTTCTTTCATTCTTTTTATTTTTCCTTTTTAATTTGTGATAACCTTGCTATTGTCCTTGTTGGATAAGGAATTTCAATGGCTGAATCTATGTCACCACAATTCTAGTAGCTAGCAACGTGCCAATTTGTAATATGTGTTTATATGTGTACTTATCCATTTATGTCTAAGAAATTTATATTTGGTTAATGATTTATTCATCCCCTTGAGGAAAAAAAAAAAAAAATTTGTCGACAACTTTTTTTTTTCTCATTTATATATTATCATTGCATAAGGGCATAAAGTTTTATATTAAATTTTTCTAGAGTAGGTAGTATTAATAAATAATGCGGACCACAATTTTCAGGTGATGGACCACTTTTTAACCCATGTGATGCCAGATGCCAAGAATTAAAGACTACCTCTGTTTAGGTGATTATTTAAGTATCTTTTGTTTCAAGGAAGATGATTATAATAAAAATCACTTCTAATTTATTAAAAGAAAGGCAGGCATAATGTCTACACGCGTGTCTATCTCTATTATGGAATGTTAGTTCATATTTAGTTAATCAATTTCCTTTCGTTAAGAGAAAAGGAGAGAAATATTATTTTAGAGTGTATGGGTCCGGATTAGAGTTATAAGTTTAGACCGAGTTAAATAAGCCGATCTGAGGTCCGGTCTCGTCCCGGCCTGAACACATCTTTTTATTATTTCCTTAAAAATACGTTGTAAATTTTGAGCCGGGCAAGACCGACCCTCCTCCTTTTAGGCCTGGCTCGGCTTGTATGTGTAAAAATAATGGGCCAGCCTTGTCCGATATGAAATTCCCATTTAGCTTGAGTGGGCGGCCCAAATTTTTACTTATAGTATAGATTTTTATCCTTTATAGTGATCAAGAGTAAGGGGTAAAAAAATCTAAACTGTCGCACGTGTATACTATTGAAAAATATGTATAGTTCAACATAAAGAAAATATTATAAGTATATCTGCTGTCTGCTGTATGGATAACTGTTCTAGTAGTAGTACCCATGACCTAAATTTACTTCCTGTTTTCGTTTAGTCACTTCTGTAGTTTCTTTAGGTTATGTATGTCGTCACGTTAGATATATAGTCTAATGAGGAATATCAACATCTTGATAGCTAAGAATTTCTTTCTTAATCTTGCCATGTTAATAGCTTTAAGAAAGAACGGTTCGAACCAATATATACCATTGAAAAATACAAAGTAGGCTTACGAAAGAGAATTTGAATCAATTCCTAAATAAAAATGCACTAAACTTGCCTTTATTTGATCTAATTCGTTCATATAGTCCCCACCACACCAAAACTTCATTAAGTAGTCATAGTTATTATGGATTGTCTTGTATTTTTTTTTTCTCATTTAGAATATATGCATTATAGGTTACGGATTGAATGAAGAATATAGTCAAGATAAGACTTCGTTAATAAATCATATCATATATCATTCTAAAAGTGTACAACTCCTTAACGTAATCAGTAGCTAGCTGAATAATATTAGCCATATAAAAGTCAGAAAATTTGATAATTTGATGTGATAAAAACTTTTTTGGTTGCTTTTAAAGATTATATGCTAATTAGATTCATTACTGGGGACGTCGCTTATTGGTTATATATGGTAAACGTTAGTCATGAGCTTGTAAAGTACCTTTAAATCATGTAATTTAGTTTGAAAATGATATATATATTTTTTGATAGAATTGAAAATGAGATATTGATTTAAGAAGAAGAAAAGGAAGATAAAAAAGATATTGGAAAAAATTGTTCAAATTAATGAATATGTGGAAGTAATATTATTGGATATATATGGAGCTCGGAATCATTTCCCAAGATCTAAAAGTTGAAGCGTTTTCTTTTTAAACACAATAATGGTGCTGTGCTGAACAAGAATATACTTTAATATAGCTCTTATTTATTTTTTTGTTGCTAATGATACTTTTAAGAAAAAATAATCTTTATACAATATATCTACTCCTATTTGATACTATAAGCGCATTTGGATGGTCTTCGACCCATTTTGCATTGATCAAGAAAGTACACTTTTTTCTTTCAATCTTTATGGACAAATTTTTAATAATTATGTTCTCAACTTATTAAATATAAAAATTTGATAACACGGTAAAATAAGAATTTAGTCTCATTAATTATTATAAATTTTTTTATTAATTATTAAATTATTACAATAATCAGATCAATATCTTACGGTTAAGACAATAGTGACAATTAGTAGATAAATATTAAAGTAACCATTAAAGCCACACATATATATAAAATAAATTACTTGTAAAAGTTTAGTGAGCATGCCATTTTAGACTGATCAGCTCATAGAGAAATATATGGTATTCTGCCCTATTCTTTAAATTGAGAATTCTTCAATTTTTTTTTTTCCTTAAAATGATTATATTGAGAAAACTAAGTGCTACACAATGTTTAATTTTTTTGTGTTTCAAGAATTGTCTAGATTAATTATAGAATACATGTCAAAACTTACTATAAAAGACTCTTTTCCCAAAAATAGGCTTATGATTTGGTTATCTTGCTGCATTATATATCGTCATAATCAATATATCTAATTGAGGCTGAAAGGGCAAAGTCGGTTCCCAAACAAGGAAATTCAATTTCATATAGACACTTGGCAAACTTTTTATGCATGACAAGGGGGCCGGGAAAGTATATCCGTCTCTCTTAACCATGCATTGTATTTGAATACTTGTTCTTTCATTACACATATTTAGGCAATCATTCTTCAGGACATGAGAAAAGAGAGTTTATAATCTTATGTGCAAATGATATTCATCATCACACTCAAAAAGCCCACATCCACATGCTCACAAAAAACGTGGTATTCGCCCGCATGCTTCTCTCACCACCTCTACCAATAATAGATGTAATCAAATATTATATTCATATAATACACACACACACACACACACATATATATAGATATCTGTAGGATTGTAGATTATGCACAATATTTATCGGATGATGTGAACGGTAATTAGCATTTCCATAAATTCAAAATCTTCAGCAAATGTTTCTGCAATAAATAAATAAAGAGAAAATCTTTTGCAACCATACAATATTTGATAGTAGTGGTACTTTATACAATGCCATAAAAGAAACTAGTAATAATAATAGTAAAAACACGATGAACTTGATTTTTGTTCCAATTTTTTTAACAAGTCCATTAGAGATTGAATACTCTGAAAGAAGTGATTAAATCACGTGTCACACTAATGTATACAGTTAACCTTCATGGCTTAATCATAATGCAAGTCTTAATTAGTTGTCTAATCATCAAAGTCAGGGATGGTTAATTATGCAGGACTCATTAGGAGACGATCTTTAATTTCAAATGATGAGGGTTATAGATAAATATATATGAGGAGCCAGTACAATATAGTATCATCAATATCACCATCATATAGTTATCATAATCCCAGTTGACATTGCACATGATAAAGACTATGTACCTTTTTCTTTTCTTTTCTCTCCTCTATATATATATATATATATGTACATAGTTTTTTTATATTATTCATAATATTACATATTCTAACGTTTAGTTCCTTTTTTATTATATATATTTTTAATATACGTATTTAAATGAAGGGCATGTACCATCTGAAGCAATAATTGAAACGATATCTGGTCAATCATCACCAAACAAATAGTTATAATATAGTATATAGATCTTGCGGTTATATGCACAGTACTACATATATACAACTGTGGTAGGGACGCCACGTTTAATTGCAGGCCCTCATCTTTCTGGCACTTATATATATGGGGAGGCACATAGCGAAACTTGGACACCATAACAAAAGAGAGGGAATAAAAAAAGAGTACTACTACTATATACTATATACAAGTTATATAGAAACACTGATATTATTGTTATTTCTATTCGCTAGCTGTCGTTTTTCTTTCTTCCCTAGAGTACTATGGTAATAAAAATAGCTGCGGAGCAATCACCAAAAGCTGATCGTTATAATGATCATGTAGTGATCAGAGAGTACGATGAGGAGAGAGATAAGGTGGCGGCGGAGGAGCTGGAGAGGCGCTGTGAGGTCGGTGGCGGCGGGGGGCGGGGTAAGCCTTCGCTTGTCACCGACCTCATGGGCGACCCAATCTGTCGCGTCCGCCTTTTCCAAACTCACATCATGCTGGTATATATATTATATAACATCAACCTCAT